TTCTCGGTGCCTTGGCAAAGCCTGGCTGCTGCTGCGGGGGTCCTGCGCAGCTGCCTCTCAGAGATGCAGTATTTGCATTTTCTGTGTTGAAACAACGAGATTACGAACTTTCAACAACAGTCACTTCCATAAAATAGACTTTTGTCCTCTAGTATCACTAGAGCCGTTATTTGTGCTAGCAATATTTTACAGCACTCTCACAAATGAGGAAAAAGAACCAAAAAACAAAGCTCTCTTTGCTGACTTCACATCGTGCTTTTTCTGTGTTAAATTAGGGATTTATTTGATTTATATGTGATTCAAATACATTATTTCAGTATTTCATATATTTCAGTTTCGAATATGTCTGTATTTCAAATAAGTAACATTTAGTATAAGCCTACCAGAGTTCAGGAAACATTTGGACAACACTGTCAGGCACATGGTGTGATTCTTGGGGTTATCCTGTGCAGGGTCAGGAGTTGGGCTTGGTGATCCTTGTGGATCCCTTCCAACTCAGGGTATTCTGTGTCATGGCTGGATATTATGTGGGAAAACTGATTTTAGAAATGGTCATTAAACTTCCTTAGGTTTGTTTCTTTTTAGCAAGCCTGCCCTCCCCCCATCACTGTAGTAGTGTTTCCAGCTCGTTTAATGTTTCTTTACCTAACCATCAAACCACCAAGAATAATCATATGGCTCTTAACAGCAACCATAAAATCATTAATGAGTTCAGTTACCTTTGTGGGGCTTTAAACTGCCAGTCAGTGTATAGGAGCCAGCAGGAATACTGGTGGAAGTTCCCTCTGAGTCTCTTATTGCTGTGGCAGATAACATGCAAGTTAGAGGGTAAACTGTAAGCATAATAAATATCTGGTTGATTTTTTTTCCCCTTTGATCCTCGTGCATCAGTTGCTTAGCAAGTTGTGCTTATCTTAGTTTGGTTATGTCAGCCAAGTGTAGGAAGATCTAAATGACAACAGCTTGGCCAAGAATGAGACACATTTTCTGAGTGAAATTGCACTAGGTGCAATAAAAGTTGGCTTTAAAATGTTAATTATTAATAACTGCGATTAATTAATAGGATATGTAAAACATTAATCTTAATCATCTTGCTGGCTAGAGTTAAAAAAAAAGTTAACTGCACTTTTTTGTTTTTTAAAGGAAATACGACATAAATCCAGTGACTACCCTCACAGGGTTGCAAAATATCCAGAAAACAGAAATCGAAACAGATACAGAGATGTTAGTCCATGTAAGTATCTTTTCTGTAATAATTGCAGTAATATTTCTAGACTTTTTGCTTATCCTGCTGACCTTAAATACTGAAGCTAATAAGTCATGGTCATTGTGGATTTTACATTTTGTTTATTTCCGTAGGCATGTATCCTATTATAAATGTGTTTTTTTTGGTAACACATACACAAAAGTGTGTAACAGGAGGGAGAAAAGTCTGCAAATTAAACTCATTGTGCTGAATGGTGATAAAAGGTTGCAAACCATAGGTATTAGTGTATAAGTAAGTGTGAGCTGCAAAGTAATATTTTAAAGATATTTTTCTCATAGGGAAATTATTTGTTTAATATTTTGTGTTTAAATGCTACTCAATTTCTACCGTTACTTTAAAAAATGCTTGAGATTTGGTTATTTTTGTCTGTATGGTAAATATGGTATGGGGTGCTTTGTACTTCACTAACTGCTGTAAAATGGTCTTTGTGACATAATGATCTTGCATCTCATGTGAAAACCCCTTTTTTTTTAGACCAGCTTCTCTGCTACAGAGATGCTGTGGGCTTCTGTTCAACAGCATTTGTGTGAACAAAAGATTACTGATGTGTAGTTACTGCTGGAGAAAGCTATCATAAATCACTTTAAAAAAGGCTGGGGAAAAAACTGTACAGCCTTAATTTTTCTACAGTAAATTGAAGCTGGAACAGATTAAATGTTTCTGCGTTCTTCAGTGTGAAGCCTCTGAGTACCGAAGGGTCGTAAAAGCCTTGTTACTGGATCCAGAGTTTTTGAAGGGTTGCTGGTGTGTTGGAGCTTCTTGATCGAGTACCTGTTTGTAAGATTTGGAGAAGTGCTGAGCTCCGTGTTTCCAGTTGAAAGTTGTGGTAACAGCATGTGTGTGGCACTTCTCAAAATTACATGGAAAGGGTCTTGGATTGAGTCATGCTGGTCAGATGGAGTGCTGTGTGCTGCTCCTTAGGCTGCTGCCAGGATGCTCACTGGCACAGTGAATTCTCTTCAAATGGCATGATGCCAAATCTTGGTGCTGCAGGCTGGTGAAACTGAACTTAGGAGTTCAGTGCATGACCTCCTTGCTGCATGTGCATGGCATTCCATCTGAAGAAGGTACCTCAGATAAGGCAAGGCTCACTAACTCCAACTGTGTGCTCAGCAAAGGGAGACAGGCTTCTTGCTGGGCACATGTTGGTCTATGCAGAGGTACTTCTGTGTCCCAGGTTTACTGTCCTGTTACAGCACAGCATTGGCATCTTACTGATGCCAAAGTAGATCATGTTTTATTCACTTTCTGTTTCATACCTAAATTGGGATGGGAGCTGTAAGACGAGAAGGCAGGAAGTTGGATTTGAACTCCCGGGAGACCCAGGTTCTATTGCTGGGTCTAATATCCTATACTACTTCTGTGTCAGAAGCTGTATCCATGCGTTTACCATTTTTCCCATTCATGGATTTAATTTCTTAGGCACTAGTGCCAAGAGAATAGAAGTTTCCTTCAACATATTTGTGCTTTTTTCTTTCTTTCTAAAAATAGTGTTTCTAAAATAAATAAAAATACATTTTATTATTTAAGTAGCATCTAATAATGCCTCCAGTAATACCTTACAGATGTGACTTGCATTCATCTCCTACAGTTATTTGGAGCTCAGAATCTTACGATTTTTAAAATTTTTTAGTTTTGGCATGCCTTTTACTGTGATGAAGAGCATCAAACGCCTCTATCTTAGTCATGGCAAAGCTTGCTTCTGAAATCTGTGTTTAGCCAGGAGGAAGAAATTTATATGATTCTCTTAATTCCTGGACCCTATGCCAAAGCAGATAGTTAGATAAAATCTGGTATTGAGGTAGTAGTGGGGCTCAGGACAGGGTTAGAGCCGTTACGTACTAGTTGACATGAAGTATAGCACGATGAATGAATTAAGATGGTGAAATTTATGAGGAATGTCTCAGTTTTTAGCATTTTTCAAAGAAAGAAGATTTGAATTAGTCCACTGAGATAGCCTACAGAACTGGGCATTAGGAACAAGACTGTATGACAACAGACCAAAACATTATGTTTGAACTAATTTCTCTTGAATTTTGCATCTGTGTTTTCAAATATGACTCATAATTGCTTCTGTAACAAAGATTAGAGTTGGAGGAGAAAGAGATTTGGCAGGGAATATATGATAAATAAGATTTCAAGACAGCAGTACCTAAATTTCAAAGCAGCTGGGATAAAGCTGTATGGTTTGGTCACTGTGGTGAACACATCTCATCTAATGCAAGGAGCTGGTGTTGCAGAAATGCAAGACAACTCAGTCTCACACAATCTTGAGGACAATTTTAGTCCTTCACTTTGCAAATCTTATCACTTTTTAACAGTGTTTAAATGAAAACCAGGTGTTACTAGTATTCTCTAAAAGTCAGAGGCCTTCAAAACGAGTTCTTAGACTTTCAAGATCCAGCCACTGAACCATGTTGCAAGACGTTATTTGATGAAAACATTTCTCCCTGGCACTGAGAAAGTTGTTTGTTAACCATGGTAGTGGCTGAGCCAGCTTGAAATCCAAGGTGGTGTGTCTGCAAGAGGAAATGCAAGGATTTTTCTGTCTTACGGAAAATATGCCAATTACAAGTGCAGGAAAAAATGCTTTGGGTTGGTTTGCCCTGTTTCAACCATGATGCATGAGACAAGTACACTGAAACCAATTTGTGTCTGTTACATACATTTCTAGGTAAAAATTAATTTTTGTTAGCTGGGAAAGGCTAATCATCTCTGCCCATTACAGTTGAGTTTCACAGAGTTTCCAGTTTCATAAGAATTTTTGTTACTGTCTGTTTTTGTTGGCTAAAGAGCTATAGTGTGTATAAGTTTGGTTTGGTAAAAACCTGAAGAGTTACCGCCTAGTTAAAAATTCCAACAGTCCAGCAGTTTGGTATTAATCTAGAATAGGGAGAGGAATATTTTGACTATGTCATACTATTGAAACAGGAAGTTAATCCGAAATAGGTTTGGTTTGACAGCCAGTCATTTCCGGACAGATGAAACCATTTCTCAGAAAACATCGTTAAGAGAGGAAAGTAACTTGTGAGGTTGTTATTCTTTATTAATATCTTCAATGAAACTGTCTCAGATTGACTGTAGACACCTTTCAGACATCTGCTTACTGTGTTACCAGATTTAGAGGCAAGAAGGAAATCCCCTCAGCAAAACTGGCAGGATTTTTTTTCCTTTAGCTTTTGGAGGGTAGATGGGGGTTTACGCAGTTGTATCTTCAGCCTTCCTTTGTAATATGGTGTGTGGCTCAATATCCTGGGTCGTCTGAGCATTTTTGCCTGATAGATCACGTTGCTGTTGGAGGATGTTGCAAGGTAGTGATTTCACTTGCTTTGTTCTTGAGGCCATGAGTAGACTTTCTCTCAGATCTTTCAGCCATAGGCTTGCAGTTGGCCAGGGAGAGAGGAACATGAAGAGTATTGTGCTTTACAGGCAGCAGCGCTGAAGCTGATTTGAATGGTTTTGCACATGGTGCTGATTAATTGTCATTGCAGAAATGTTCCCTTTCTGTACTGTTTTGAGTGTATGTGCTGGGAACAGGGAGATTTCTGTCCAAAGTAAGCCTGCTGCATTTCTTGTTGTCCATGTTAGAAGCTAACATTGATGATATTTATGATGTTATCTAATGATTCTCTCAAACATCTTGTTACCAGAAATATTGTAAAATAAACTCAACATGCTGCTTTTGGAGATCCTTCTTTCTTTGGGGTTAGGGAAGACAGAAACTTTATAGCACATGCTGATCTAAACTTTAGCGTGTCTTAAGATTGCCTTTCACCATCTTTAGAAGTGTGTGCATCCTGTGCCATAGTTACACGTGTGTTTCGGTATGAATGCATTTCGGTCATGGCTAGGCCATGATTGGTATGATGGCATGTGTTGTGTACAACCAGTGACAGGGCGGTGGGGAAAAGTCACTTTGCCTTTCCTTTGCCTTAGGCTACCTCTGTACCTTGTGACTGTAAGTCTAGTGATAGAGTATTGTAATTTGAATAATTTAGCAGCTCAGATAGACTGAATTTAGATTAGTGAAATGGAGGGGATTTGCTGGTAGGCGGGAAAGGGTCGGGCAGGGTCACTGGGATGGCTTACGGCTACATGTTTTATTTATGACTTTCTTTAATCCACTAAGTGGATCGTCCTCCTCTATTGTTAATAGCTCTATATTTGGGGGACCAGAAACGTCTTTTGGATAAAAGATAATTTTAAAATTATACAGTAGATTCACTTCTAGAAACACAGTTGTTTTCAAATAAAAACCTTTCATTAACCAACTGCAAGAACTGCATGATGTCAAACACCAAATGTGTTTTATCTCGGTTTTAACAGGATCTGTCATTTTCTCTTTAGCAGGGAGTGGGCTGATTGATGTGTAATGTGAAGTCTTGGCCTCACTTGAAACATGGGGAGTATTGTCAGTGATATCAGTTGGACAGGGCTTCACTGGAAGTAGGTAATCAGAGTTTGCTTATCTCAGATAGGGTTGTTCTGGGAGTGGGTTTTCTCAGTGCAAGAGCCAGAATGAGAATAATTTTTAAGATTTCCACTTCCCTTTCAGGCTGCATAGTTTGTCGAAATAGGGGAATTAGCACTTCAGAAAATGGTTACTGTATTTTAGCTGTTGTGGGCATGGCAATGTATAAGATAAGATTTATCTTAAAGATTTAAGATAGGTTTATCATTCATATAAATCTTAGGTACTTTGTAACTGGAAACGATTTACATACGGGACAAAATGTTACAGCAAACTCACTGTCAGAAGTTGGCTTGCTTCATTTAATTCAGAAGAGCAAGCCAGGGTTTGAATGAGGTTTCTAGGTCATTGTGTCCTTTAAGAACCTTTTCCCTTGAAAGAAGGGAAATCAATATATCCTAGTGTCTGTCTTTGTCCTGTGGACTGTATGCCAGAGTATTTGTTGGATCGCCTCTGTTTTACTTGGGGAGGAAGAGGGAGGCTGTCTGTGCATAGAATTAGTTGTTAAAGGGACTTTAAAAAAAAAAACTTTCAGAATGCTATTTGTCACGTTTACAAAGCAGAATTTATAAGAAGAAAAAAATAAAGCTGGAAGTGTGTATGAGGATTAAAGCAGGGAACCTCCTTAGAGGCTCGTCAGTTATCTCCCCGGGCAGCAGAACAGCAGCTGCCGCTGGGTGATTAAATTGTTAACGTGCTTGCTGACGTCACCTTTCCGAGAACACTAGTACCGGTATGTGTGATTTACTATAACAAGATCTTAAGTTTTTCCTGTTGGCAAATGACATGTAATATTTACAGCGGTCTTGGTTTCTCTCCAGTAGAAACATTTCAGATAAAGTGATACATGAAAGGAAAGAGTAATGGTTTCCTATCCCAGCAAAATAATACAAAGAAATATATTTTACTTTAAAATGCACGTGTGTCTTAATTTTGCTGTGTATTGGCTTTGATAATATTTTTTTTCTTCACACAGAGGTATCATAATTTTTTTTAAAGACTCCTGAAAGTCAAGATGGTGTTGCCTTACAACTGGAATGCTAATAAAAACAGACTAACCCAGTAAATTTCTCATGTTTTTATATTAAAAAGAATTTTTCAGCATATTTCTGTTCTCTGCGTGTTTGTATGTGACTGCATGTAAAAGCTAGGACCTAAAGGAGGTGCGGTAACAACCCCAAATCTGAGTCCTTGAACAACAACAAAATAGTTGTACTTTACTGTTGACTTCTCTACTTTAATCCAGCAAGATCATCTCTGGCAGTTGCCAATAGTAGATAGATGAGGGAGAGTATAAAAGCAGATCAAAACCTAGTAAATGTATTTTCCCAGGTTTCCAAACCTGGAAAGTATTTATATAAAATCATATGAGCAATCTGTAGAACAAGAGTCTTAATTCAGTGACTGTTTTTTGATTGCCATCAGCTTTTTTCCTGTGCAAGGTTATATTCATGGATTTCTGAGATAAGCCTTGTGCTGTACAGCCTGGCTATGAGTTCAGTTGTCATAGCTGTGCCGAATTTGATACTTGGAAGTTGCTCATGTGAAAACTCATGATTTTGTGCATTTCCCAAGATGTCTATCAAAAGGAAGTTAGCCTTTTGGTGCAGGGAGAGGGAAAAGTGGGCTGGCATTTTAACAGCAGTCTGTGCCCCAGTTGAGTTTTGTGGGCTGAAGTCTCTTAAATTCATTTTAGTTTGCTGTTTTTTATTTACTCTTCTGAAACAGTCTGCTGAGGCTGTTGAGCTTCAGGAGGTTTGCAGTCAGTTGGATCTCATTTTCTGGCATCTAGTTGTGTACAGATTTTAAACTAAAAGTGCTCTTTGTTTAATACAGTGACCAATAAATGGCTGAAGCATTACTTACTGTGAACAAGTCTCATTACCTAAATGTCTCCTAGAGGCTGATAAATCAGATACTAAAAGGTTCTAGGAACAGCCACAATGACTTTTTATTATGCAGTGTTTGAGCTTGACAGTATGATCATCTTTCTCATATTAATGTTAGAATTTTATCCTTCACTTGCCTCTGCCATAAATAGGGGAATCTTCTGTCTTGCCTATGTAATTGTGAGAGACTGAAACCATGTAATTAGATTAGACTTCATTTAATTGAAAGATTTGTTAAATATGTACGTTTTTGCATGTGTCTATTATTGTTATATTGTACAGTATTTGACAATAACTCATAGGGAAAATTAAATTGATCAGTGCTTAGTTTGAATTATTGCAAGTACATTTTGGTGAGTTTTTTTAGCTGTGTGAGTTTTTCTGTATGATTCTACCTCAACCTATGAAACTTCACCAAAAATTTTGGAATTCTGAACACAAAGGAAACCATGCAGTGGAGTGATCTGATGTGATAGGACAGCGTTGCCTGGTGTGAGTCGTGGTGCTGTTGTATTAAGGAAATGCAGCTGTTGAGGGATGGCTGTGAGCATTTTTTGGCATGTATGGGAGGGTTGTTTTGTTTGGCTGTTTTTATAAATAAAAATGGGTATTCCAGTTTTCTGAGCATCTGCTAGTAATCGCTTCCTGAAATTACTCCCATGTAATGCTGAGGGGAGAATGAGACAGGCAGTTATCAAAGATAGATGAGAAATTATTTTCACATATACAAATAATTTACTGCTTGGGTAGGACTGCAATATTTATTTCAAGTTGCTTGTCAGACCTAAACTTGCCTTTGAGAGAGTATTCATCCAGATGGATGCATCATTAATTCTTAATTTTGTTTGAATTTTAGATGATCATAGTCGTGTAAAACTCCAGAACACCGAGAATGACTATATCAATGCCAGCCTAGTGGTCATAGAAGAAGCCCAGAGATACTATATTTTAACACAGGTGAGTAGTACCAGTTACTACAGTATTACAGGGATTGAGAATCTAGGGGAGGAGGATTTGTACAGTTGTAATTTGTATTTGGATGATTCCTTGTCTGTATGTATTACATGTATTTCATATTAACAGCCTGTGTAGGCTGTTATCACAGGTAGCTGTGATCAGATTATTTTATATTTTAAGAAAAGCTAAAGGGAATATTGAGGTATGATTAATTTACTGCGTATGAAGCTTTTCAGGTATTTCTTGCTCTTCAGTTCTTTAGGAAATAGGTTGCAACAATACTTTAACCCCTTAATTCATCTTGTAGCTTCTGAACAGTAGTTTTAATTCTAACGGCAAAGTAGTATTGATGCTCAACCCAAATATGCTTTCCCTGAGTTTTTATTGTTCTGTTGTTTGGTTTTGTTTGATTGTTTTTTTTCTTAAAAAAAAATACGCAACCATTTCAAGTCCTGTAGTGGTCTGGGCAGCGTGATTACTTTCTTGCCTGCTACTTCTATAATTCTATTAATAATTTGTTTAAACTTTCAGAGGAAGACTTATTCCTCTTTTCAACAGTGAACTATTAACTGTGTTCAAATATTGGTTTGCCTGTATGTTCTCATGCCCATTTTTCTTTACTACACAGGGTCCTCTCCCTAATACCTGTTGTCATTTTTGGCTGATGGTATGGCAACAACAAACCAAAGCAGTTGTCATGCTGAACAGAATTGTCGAAAAAGAATCAGTAAGTGAAATTAGTTGTAAAGCGATATAATTTTAATACAGTTGAGCAGTGTTTGATTGTTACATTAAAAGAACTAACAAACTTTCTCACTGGTGTACAGCATAATGTGTATTGAATGTAACATTAAAGTGATGGAGCTAAGACCTGAAGTTCAGTTTGGTGAAAGTAGCATCCATTTGGTGATGAATGCAGAAAGGTGAAAGTAACATTCTGAGAAAGGAGGATATGCAGATAGAAATAGTGTGGAGTAGAGGCAGCATAAGATGCTCTTGGAACAAAATGGAAGGTGGGAAAACAAGTTTGACTTAAAGTATCTTTAGATTAATTCCTCTAAATCTGATTACTCTGAAGAGTAGTATATTTGTTATAAAGGGATGTTAGCTGTAACAGTGAAGACAAACTGCTGCCCAAGAACTGGTGAACAGTTGGTATACATGCAGAATACAGAAATTTTCTGCTACGATGTAGCTTTTCTGCTAATGCACATAAGAGCACAGGATTTTAGTTATAAGTGCATGTCATTTGAGGTTTATGTCTTTTCTTCAGAGTAGATTAGTTAGGGAAGAAGATTGGTCTTCTAAAAAGTCACTTATTTTCTTGTGCAAAAATTTTCCTACAAAAAGTTTGAGTGCAGGGCAAGAGGAATAAAAGACAATGGTTTTGCATTGCTTTGTTCCCTTATCCTTTGTTTCACTAGAACCTTCCAGTATACAACAAGCCTGGAGAGAACTGGATGTGATAGAAGAGTTCTGTAACTGTGCAGGTGTGCATGTCAGAAATGGGGGGAGGAAATGCTGAAACAGCTGAACAGAGGTCTTGGTTCCCTATAGAGAACTAGAGAGGGGAGAGGGAGAAGGGTTCAGATGTATCTCAAAACATGTTAGCCCTGCAGTGAAAGAAAGCACAAACAGACAAAGCTGGAATGCATAATAGCCACTGAAGCAGTTGTAGTGACTTGGCTGTAAACATTATGGATTACAGACTTCGAGAGTTCTCAAACTGGGAGCAGGTACTTGAGTCTACTGTGTTGGATAATGGGGTCTCAAAATCTGCACATGCAAAGCCCAAGATACTAGGATATTTAACCAGATTTTTTTTCTTTTTTTCCCCCTTCTTGTTTTCCTTCCTTTAAAAAAAAATCAAATAGGTGAAGTGTGCACAATACTGGCCAACAAAAGAAGAAGAAGTTATGACATTCAGTGAAACAGGTTTCCGTGTGAGGCTGGTATCTGAAGATGTCAAATCCTATTACACAGTACATCTACTGCAATTAGAAAATATCAATGTAAGCTTTTCTCAGTCTATACAGCTCGTATTTTTGGGCTTCAGCGTACTGTGAGAGCCATTTAGCATGTTGTCACTCAAGGTTTGTTTGAGCTTTTGCAGTGGGAATTTTAATGCACTTGGCTTCTGAGGATGTTAAAGATGTTGGTGTGGAATATAAGCAAGTTAAACCTCAATTTATACATTAAAAAGATAACATCTTCAGCATTTTTATATTTATATTTTCCATATGGCAGCACCGTAGCATGCTCAATTGTGGTTGATGGTAGTGGTGATTCTAAGAGGAGCTGTAAGAATTAACCTAAAGGGAGGAACACAGGAGTTGAAAATTCTGATTTCCTTTGACTATCCGAAATCCAACTTAATAATAACTGGTTTTTAGTGGAACTTGAATTTTCCATGTAATTCAATCCAGCTATCTTAAGTTTTTTTTGGGAAGGGGTGATTACCACCTGTAGATAGGTGACTTTATCTCCTCTTGCTTACCTCCCCTTTTGCTCCACAGGACCAACCATCCTTTTCTCTTAAAAAATTAAGCGCTTTGACAATTTAACCAAGTTAAGCTCAAAAAAATTGTTCCTGGCCTGAGCTTGGGTTGGAATTTGCTGCTTCTGTTTCAGAGCGGAAGACAGGATTGAAGAGCTTGTCTGTTTGTTCCAGCTATGTCTTGTAAGATATTCTCTCTCCCTATAAATCTTGCCTTAAGTGCTACTATGGCAAGTTTTATTCAAGATTGTCTTGTTCATTCAAAACCTCCCTCATGACATGATAAAACTTGGCATGTTATTCCTTGGTCTCTTCCTTGTAAGAAGAGCTTTGTGAAATACTGTCCTGCTGACCTAAAGAATTTCTGTTTAGTTGTTTGTTCAATGACAGCAAAAGCAAAGAAAAGAGGAGTAGTGCTTGCAAGCTAGTGCCTGAGAAAGAATAACTCTCCTTTTTGGAAAGCTGAATGCAAGTTTTCCTAACTACCAAAAAGGCTTTTTTGTGGAATTATTTGGCAGATGTTGGCCCCTACTCTTAAACTTCCTATTTTCAAAGGATGCAGTTTTCATCACGTGTGTGTTTGAACATAACATTAATTGGAAAATGCAGAAATGCCTTGAGGAACAGCACAACATATACTATAGTAGACTCTTGAGTTGGAACTACTGAGCACTTAAATTTCTGGGTTTGTTTTGGACCAGCAGTGCCCGTCAGCACTGTGGAGTTTCTTGTATGTCACGTAAATCAGTTTGACAAATACCTAGAAAACTTTCTGTATTGAATTTTTATTTTAATACCCTGGCACTCTTGTAAGGCTCTACACATATTAACTCCAAAGAATAATTTTTATATAAAACACTAAAAGAAATAAAACATACTTGGTTATTCAAACAAAAAAACTGCATAGTTTCTAGACTAACACTATGAATGTTAAATGCAACCTTTTGTAAGGATTTGATAATTATACCATAAAACTTGTGGGAACTTGGTATTCACAGTAACTTGAAATGTGAGCTTAACTGTGTTTATGCAAGTTACTCTGGAGGGGCCTTTGGTGGAGGCAGAGTGTAAGACATTTAGCCACTCGATGCCTGGAATATAAGATGACTCATGAACAAAATATACTCTGAATGCCAAGAATACTTAAATTTTAGCATTTCCTTGAAAACAGAACCAAAATTGTCTTTATGATATAACCATTCTGAGCTGAAGTATATTTGTCTTACTGCAGCAAATCTCTTTTAAGACATAAGCAAAATACATATGTATGAAGAGTAAAGTGCTTGTTTAATGTTGTTACCAATGAAACAACCACTGAATATTTATTTGTTTTCTTGTTGATTTTGTTAAAGAGCACTTAGAAGTACAGGTGAAGTTGGGAGGGTGTTCTTTTTTTCAAGATTAGAGCAAAGCATTTGGGTGTTTGATTCATTTATATCTGTTCTAGGCAAACATTTGTTTTTGCTATTGGGGCTGGCAGAGTCCGGTAAAGCTTTGGAAAGAAAATGGTGTTTATTGGTACCTTCCCAAAAGTTTTGAAAATATTTCTAATGTTCTTTGTCTTGCTGGTGATTATCGTGGAATTTCCTTATTTTTTGCCTGACCCAGTCTGCATTTTAGAATACAGGCATTTGAAGCTGCTTTCCACCATGGTTCATTGTGTGTTCTCCATGGTTTTGTCAGTGTCAATTGTCAGCCCTTCTGCAAGTTGAGTGCTGCTTTCTGCTGTAATAGCTCAGGTTCAGAGTTGGCTTTGAGCAAAGACTTATTGTGAAGGCTTCCACAAACCTATGCCTCTGTCGGAAAATAAGGGTAGAAGGAAGAAACTGTGCTCATGTTAAAATTTTGTAAGCATTTATGTGTGAAGCTACTGCATGTATATGATTTGAAGCAAAGTGTCCCAGCATATTGTAGAAGTGATAGTCAGGTGTTTGAGAGCCTTTTGTTAAATTTGTAAACTAACCTTCTATTGGATAGTGTTGCTAAATTTTGTGGCAATATTATGTGGAGATTCTCAAGTTAGCTGTCAATATCTAACAAAGACTCCATCTTGTGTTGAATATGTTTTTATATTCTTTATTGCTGCTTTTAGCTTTTTTTTTTTTGGTCACAACTATAAGTATTGGTCTTTAGAGAAAGAAAACTTTTTTGTTTTCTGTAATTTCAGAAAACTGTGGCAACCCAGATACCGTGAGAAAGTTACAGTGTGACACATAATTAATGGAAAGCTTATCCCAGTAGTTCCTAAAAATTTTGCTAGAATGGTTTGAGTGATTTTGATGAAAAATTATTGGCTTTTTTTTTTGGTAGCTAGTCTTAGGAAATAAATCTTGGAAGATTGTGTTGTGGTTACCATAGAACAAGCTGGTTTTCAATTACTGTGCAGAAATGTGTTCGTTGTGTATAACATATAAAATTTTATATTAGTGCCTGAACCTTGAAGTCCAGGGTTTTTTAATTTAAAAGACTAGCTGACTTCCTGGTAACACTTCAAATTGAAGTTAGCTGTTCTTTAAATGTGAATTTTTATCCATCTACAGTTGTGAATCTTTAGCAAGCCAAAACTCTTCTCGTTACAGTCCAAAGTCACTTCATGTAAGTGATAGCTATGGTGCATGGCTCAGTGACTGGGAGTTCTTCAAGAAAGGGTGCTACAGATACCCACACAAAGGCAGTGTTTCAGCTGTACAGCTTGACTGCCAAGCACCACTTGAAAGAGCCATTCTGTTTAAGTGAGAAATGTGGGAGGTTTGAAATATTCAAATGGGATTTGACTGTAGGATTAGAGACTGCAAGTTCAGAGACGACCAGCTGGTTCCGGTGCACTGCAATGGGACTCTTGTAGAAAGATGAAGAGACTAGGTATTTTTAAAATGAGCTGAAGGGATGGAAAATCATGGGATGGACAAAGCCTTCATGCAAGAATTCTGTGGGTTAGAGCTATGTGACATGTGCAACAGCGCTGTTTAATCTCTCTTTTAGAAATACTTATTTCAGATTAATGTATAAGCAGGGTGACACTTGGCCATGTGCTTGAAGCAGTACCTTTTTTTTTTTTTTTTTTTTTTTTTTTTAGGAAGAGGATGCTAGAGGATGAGAGTGGGGGGAAAACACCCCTACACAGACAAACCCTACATACCAAAAGACAAAAAAGGCATTTTTGCCTTCTTGAGGTGTAAGGGAGGTTTTCATCTGTAATGCTGTCTAACGATCTTGTGGGAAGGAAGTATCATTTGCCACTTAAAGACCATCTGATTCACAAGGAACAACCTTAACCTTTGCTTTACCTAATACGTGCATTTAACTCACCTCTCCAGTTTTCTTTTTCATTTTGTTTCGAAAATGATGAATTATTTTTCTTAGAAATAGAGGAAATTGCTTGAGTGTTATTTCCAGATTTCTTATTAAAAATTTATCTCCTTCATGTTTTTTAAACAAACAGGTCATTTCTGTTGATTTGTGAGTTAACTCGCCACTTAAAAAATAAGGTACAGAGGAGCAGTTGGAAGATCTCAGTCGAAAATGCAAACTCTTGTTTTAATGCTTTGCTTCAGACAAAGGAAAGTCCCAGTGTATTTACACAATTTAGGCCTTGGTAGTCTTTTTTCCACATGAAATCTTCCTGTGAACTCACTTTCCCAATATCATAGATCATACTCTGTTGTCTTTGTTGAGCTCTTAGCCAAAAGACAAAATATTTCTGGAAGATAATTGTGCATTTGAGAGTCACTGGAGTTGTGTTAATATTCACTGTTTTCTGTGAAAATACTGGCAGTCTTGCAGTATCAGGCATTGAAGGCAAAAGACAAAACGGGAGAGTATTTTTGTTACTGTGGTAACCACAAACTGGATTACTTTGGTTTCACAAAGGAGTTTCGTAAGCTGTCTCTGGTAAGAAGTTGAAATGGACTGAGCAGATGAAGAACAGTAGAGTTTATTTTAATTTTAAGGCTGTGTTTTATTGTTGCTGAAGAAGGAAAAATAACTTTTCTAGAATACATTGATATTTTAAATCTTCCTGTGTTCAAACTCTGTCAAGATTTAGGTAGGTTTCAGTCTATGTGGAAAATTTGATGTAATGGAGAGAAGGTAAAAATAACTGAACATTTCTAAAATTCCTGAGCTAAAATCAGTGATCAGTTTGTCTCAGAATCACCATGGCAAGGAGTAGCATTTAACAGCAAGTCTGAAGTGAGTTCCATAAAAATATAATCTAGATTTTATATACATATTCTTGCTGTCATTTCAGTACTTGCAGTTAGTTGTTCATGTTAGGAGAGAAACTGTGTGGTTCTAAAGCCAACTGTATGATTTTGGAATCCTCCTTTTTTACTTAAAAAGACAGAATATGTCCTGTGGAAGTCTTGCTAGACATCCTGCTGTATGGGTTGTTACAGGCCTTTTCCATGACACTTCCTGCTCCTCACAGTAATGTGGTTCATAGAAAGGAGATGTGATACCTCTTGGCATTAAAACTTGCTCTGAGCAAGAGTGGAGAGTGTATACAACACTGATGTGGACTTTTTTCAGTAGTATTAATTCTAGCTGTCTAATAACTGCTGTCAGCCTTTAAACTGCTCTAATGGTAGAAAAGGAAGGATATTTGGGAGTAAGTAGTAAAGCAACCCAAATATATTGGGAGTTTGAGAAGAAGAAAAAAAATGCGTATGGTAATAATTGGAAAGGAGGAAACGACCAACTCGGATAAAAAACTGCTTCAGCTTGCTCTGTTGGTTGTCATCCAACTTAAAGCAAGTTATGGGATGGTTTGTCTAAATGGGAGTTTAAAAATAGAGAATAGCTATTGATTTAGATTGGGGAAATGTGTGCTAACTGAACAAAAGAGGAACACTTCCTAGTTGTATTATTTTATTTGTTTTCACTTCTAGAGTGGTGAGTCCAGGATGATCTCTCATTTTCATTATACCACATGGCCAGACTTCGGAGTTCCTGAATCCCCGGCTTCATTCCTGAACTTCCTGTTTAAAGTCAGAGAGTCTGGTTCACTGAGTCCTGAACACGGGCCTGCAGTAGTTCACTGCAGTGCAGGGATAGGACGTTCTGGCACATTTTCATTAGTAGACACTTGTCTGGTTCTGGTAAGTGTTTGCTTATTCGCTCTGTCATCTTTTCCCTTCTCCTGACACCTTGCCTCCATTCCCAGTGTGGGCTTTTTGGTCAGAAGGCTTTAAAAACATTGAAGTTAATGACATGCCAGTGGAAACTTTAATTAATACATCATACTTTCTTTTTCTTCACATATTTTGATGGTTTAAAAACACAGCTCTTGAAATGCATTTACAAATCCATCTTCAAGTACATTACGTATTTTCAAAGCTTCCTGGAAAGTAAATAGTAAACATTCTTTCCCTTTTATATAAGATGTGCTTAGAAAAGGTTGAGGACTGGTTGGTTTTTTTTAATATAAGTTTAAAGTTAAGCTTGTGAATATATATGGAGATAATTAAATCTATAAGTCTTTTTCTCCAAACATAGAATATCTCATAAGTCTGACAGGCCCCTTTTCTTAAGAGTGCAGAAAATTGTTATCTGAACTAGCATGAGAATTCGGGCATGTCCCTGGATCTCCTGCAGTATGTAATGAAGAGTGGTGCAGAATTTCCCTTGCTGTGCAGCCCCCTGGGAGGTGGGGCTTGGCAGCCAGTTGCAGTGTCACATGGATGTATAGATTTCTATGTTTACTCAGCGAGCTACATCATCAAAATTGCTCATGACATGAGTGAACTTTAAATGTTAAATAATATTTAAAATAGCTTTAGAATTTTGTTGGATTTTGAAATCCAGGCACAGACTTTTTATTTGTCTGTGCTTGGCAATAGTGAAAAGGACAGCACAGGGTTAGGTGAAATAGGATTTCATTTAAGTGACAAGAGACTTGTCTTTTGGTTTGGTTAGATCCTTTCAACTTATTTTTTGGTTTTTTTTCTTCAGTTTTTCTTTTTTGATGCATTTTTGAAAACGGGTATATTTTGATGCAAATATACTTTAATATTAGATGATTTATAGTGAACATTGTAAGAAGTGCAGATATATGTTTAAAAACACTCCATGAATGTAATGTAGGGACAAGTGTGTGCATTGCTTGGATTAGGGATTCTGCTTTAAATAAGGAAACTTCTGCCGCATTCAGTCTGTCTAAATTGCTGTTCCATTCAGGAGCAGCAGGAAATACTGTTTTACAGTTCTGATTCTTATAGTCTTATTTCAAAGTTTCAATACATGCCTGAATAAAATCAAGCATACCTAATCTTAAGTTTAAAACTTGATATTAGAGTACTAATTTATTATTAATACAGGATCATCGATTTTTTCATAGTAAGTTTTCATTAGATGGTTTGCATTTTATCTGTAAAAACAAAATAGAAATCATTTGAGTGGTTAATTTTCTATATAACCAATATAAGCATAATATGAAGAAATTAATTTTTGGATTGAATTTTATGACTTTCACTTGCAATTGTTTTTACATACCATTGATACTTTCAATGTAACTTTCTTTACAGATGGAAAAAAAGGACCCATTTTCTGTAGATATTAAGAAGGTATTACTGGATATGAGAAAATATCGAATGGGACTTATTCAGACTCCTGATCAACTAAGATTTTCATATATGGCTGTAATAGAAGGAGCAAAATTTATAATGGGGGATTCAACTATACAGGTAAACGTATAGCTCTATGTATTTAAACAGCTGACTGCAACAGTAGTAAAAAATGAGCTCCAAATTATTTTAAAACATGTAACTTTGTGGAATTTAAATAATTAGACTTTTTCAATAGATGCCTAGGAGGTATCAGAGGATATCTGTTCAGTGCCTTCTATGAACTAAACGTCTAATCCTATGTATATGTCCCCTTTTCAATGAAATATAAAAATTATTTGTCTGTACAAATGTTTAGAAAAAGAAGGTTCAATCTGTATCTTCAATACTAAAAAGCAAAAGTAATGACCAGTACTGCTTTGAAGATAGTAAGGATCTTTTTTAGAATTTCTTGATCCTTGCTATGTATTTTCCCAACAGAAAAGTTTCCTGATGCCACAGATAACGTTTATTACTAAAGTTGCTGTGTTTTTTCATGTCCCTTAAAATCTGTGTTATATTTAGTAGAATCTAGCCAAATATGAATTTTGGGGCAAAAAAAAAATTACCTATCTCACTGTTTCATCAGAGCGGCTTGCAGGCGTAACAGTAGCTACAGTGACGTTAAGTGACTGGAGCTGGGAGCAAGGGAGGACTGGGAGGAGAGGCTTCAAATCAGACTTAATTCTGCTTTCATATGCTGGGGCTTTTTTATTTTGTTGATTTCTTAAAATCATGAATAGAGCAGATAAGCTAAAACACGTTTTTTCTCCTCTGTGGTTCTGGTAGTTGTCTAATTCTTCTCTTTAACAAATGTTTCTTGACTTGCTAGAAATAATTTTGCACAACTGCTGATCAACACCTGGGACAGTGTTCTGCTAGTCTTGACACCTGTGCCATGTGCCCAGAAGACTTCATGATTCATCCTAACAGCAGTTTAGTGTCTTTATTTTCTGGAAGCTGTTTCTGGTGGTATGAGGAATTGTCTCCAGTAGTATTTTTCTGCTTTGTTTTTTACAAAGCCATGGTCCACATTGTGAGCAGGTCGAGTTCCCACACTTAGCCATCTAGATCACAGGATTTCTCATTTCTGGATACAAGGGAGCAATCAGGTTCAAGTGTGTTATTTCTTCACAGTAAGAGAATACCTAAGAAGGCACACTTCTCATTTGTTCTCTTTTTCTTGTTATGACCGTTCATATGATCTTTCTTAAACCAGTGTTTCCTGCATTGCAGGCATTTGTCCTGGTGTTTTTCTCTTTAGGCCTCAGGGTCATGTGCAGAAAATCAATTGGCAGTACTTAAAAGGAGTGTTTCTCCTTTCAAGGTCAGATAGGCTGCTTTTTTGACCCTGAATGGAACAGTTGTACTCTCCAGAGCGTGAGAGGTATTCACTTCTGTCTGCTAATAATGGGGAGGGCATGAAGTTATTGACAGCTTCTCTGTTATAACATTAGCCAAATGTTCATCTCTGACACAACCATGGGTTTTGGAAGTCAGTATGCAAACACAACCTTAACTTGCTGCCAGCTAGTGGCTGCAACTGCAACATGCATGCAGTTTGTCTGCTTAAGGTTGTACAGTATTTAATTGGTCCTGCCATTCACACAGTCTTGTCATACATATTTAAACTTGGAATTACCAGCCATTTCAGCAATTGTTATTACATGTTTAGAATAGAATTCTTGGTGAGAAATTCCTTCTGTATGACAAGAGCAGTAAAGTTGTCTCTGATTTCAGTTTTTGCTGTGTGGCTTTATCACTACAGGTGTAATCAGTATTTGTCTTAGGCAGCAAGTCTGTCGTGGACACAAATATGTCTTCCAAAAGGCCTTTTTCTGTGACAGTAAGGAGGAGCTGCTAAGTGGATTTCCATTTGTCAGTGGCTGCTTCTTTTTGTTTGTATGCTTGTTTAAGACAAAACAAAGAAAACCTCTGAGAATTAAGTATTTTTTGGGTCAAGACTAGTCCCTTTGTGAATTTCAGATCTGTACTGGAAGCTTCTTTACAATGGAGAAGTCAGTTCATTGTTAAAACTCATTCTGCCAGCAGTCCATTTATAAGTGGCTGGCTTTTCTATATCACTGTCTGAGTTTGATATTTAGTTTAAACCATCAGTCTTGAATTCATGGTGCAGACAGGAATCTATCACTTGGATTTGAGAAGTCAATTTTCAGTTCATCCTCCCTATCATAGACTTCTAAAAGGAACTGATTTTTTTTTCTACAAGGTATTCTGTGTCTTTATAGGCACTGAATGATTTGTGTGAGAAAAGAAATGGTGGGTTTTTAGGGACAATTCTTTTCCTTCCTGTGAACTTTCTAGGGTTTTTTTCTGCATGAAGTTCTATTGCCACAAGTCCTTCAGACTGTTCATCATTAGAACAGTTACTCATTAGGGCAGAGATCTAGCAAACCAGGTTTACTTCCAATTTTTTTTTCCATCTTGGTTTAAATTACTTCTCAAAACAAGGTGAATAACTGTTTTATGATGCAGTAGATCTCTGGGCTAATGGGTCACTATGTGAAGTAGTAGTCTGCGACTGGCATAAATAAATCTAGTGAAATTTTCCCAGTTCTCTCTTTTTAGGCAGTTCTTGCATGCAAGTCCTATTGTATTTTGAAGCCATGAAAGGTAAGAGCACAGTGTAGGCCTCTAGTGAGTAGAAGGAAATGGGAAGTGCTGGACAGTGCTGGGTGACAAAAGAAATGTTGCTTCCTAGTTGTGGAGCTACTGTGGACAATGCAAACCCTAAAGTTAGTGGCCTCATGCCACCTTAGTAGCATCATCCCGGAGAAACAGAAAAAAGGATCATTGATCATTGTTGGAGAAGATGCATCTTCCCCTAACCTTATTTCTTCATCTAGCAGGTTTTTTTCTTGATCTGGTAGTTCCTTTTAATCTACTTTTGTGACTGTTCTTTTTGGAAGACAGCTTGAGCAAGGGTTGTCTTTAGTGTTAGGGGAATGTTTGAAATATGTTCTCCTTGTTTGCAGAAACGGTGGAAGGAGCTCTCTAAGGAGGACCAAGCGCCACATTCTGAGCAGTCTCCTCCGCACCCAACTAAAATAACCACAGAGAAGTACAATGGGAACAGCATAGGCCTGGAGAACAAAGATCAGATGGAGAAAGTAAACACTGACCTGTCCACTAAAGTTCAAGATATCACAGATGGGAACACTGAAAGGTAGGCAAGATAAAGAAAACATTTAGAAGGCAGATACACTTTCTCGAAAGGCTTATTTCTTATTATAAGAAAATTTCAAGATCTTTCTTCAGTAGAGAGGAAGGAATGGTGGTGTTTGACTGTCTTATTGAATTATTTTAAAAATACAACCTCAGTTGTTCCTTGTGATAGAGTTTTACTGTTGAAAGGTCAAGAGAAGAAAATGTCTCTGATTGAAACACCTAAACCTCATGCTTGAAAGCATTTTCCTGCAGACTATCAGTGAACTCCATTATGCAGTGTGAATTAGGTCCTAAAAGTGCCAAAAATAATTTGATACTGATTTTTAAATACAGTGCTAACTTCTGATTTAAAAAATCCATGTTACCTCAGAAACACAAAGGCTTGATCACCTACCACTTTCTGTGTAGCGGTTGAAATTGTATCATTGGAGCCATATGTTACCCTCTGTTCATGTTAAATCTACCACTGTGAGTAACTTTCTGTGGTTTAACTGTCATGTAAATTTGTCTTTCTCCTTCAAGTGTCTCTTCCTCACAAGTACAAATATCTCAGCTGGGAGGCACTGTGTCACTTGGGCCTGCCCCCATGGGGGTCACCAAATGGTGATCCATAACCAGAGATCCAGAAACCAGTCAGGGTTGTGCTGACCTGAACTGTGCAGTGCACAGGAGGAGGCAGTGTCTGTCCCAAAGGGACAGCCTGGGACAAAACACAGCAGTTCAGTGTGGATAGGCTGGAATTCTGAAATAACTTCTGGCTCACTAAATGCCCTGATGGGTTTGTCTTTCCATGTCTTCATGAGTGTTTTTGAGAGGGAATGACAGCAGTTCTGTAGATGTTTGAAGGAACCTCTCGCAAGTGGGGTGGGGTGTGGGTGTGAGTGTGGTGGTTGTGTGCTAAGGAGTTGGACAATCAAAATGGGTTTTTGTGTTGTAGTCATGGCTGTCTCAGAGATTGTGAGGGTACTTTTGGAGACAAGACTTACAAGGCGGCCCTGACAGTGTAACAACACACAGAACTGGGTTTTCAGTCTGTGTCCTTTATCAAGATCTGGTTCACAGACGGAGATGGGTTATTATTAAACCTGCCTGCAGGTGTGAGTAGGTTTGGATCAGTGTATCATTGATGCTGGTATGAACTCTGCAGTGGAGGGACCCATGTACATACTATGAACGTTTGCACGTAGTATCTGGCATTGCATACAAAACCAACCTCCATTAAAACATCTCTGCCACCAAATGGGGCACAGACAAGGGTGAAAGACTAAGCTCAGATAATTTAGCTGACTCCATCTGTTCTTTGTTGAACAACGTAGGTCAAGTGCCGTGTACATCTTTACATCTGTTATTTACTTACTTCATGGGGCTTCACTGATCTGAAACTCTCCACATCAAGGTGGTTAAAACATCATAAAAGATTGCTTGGCTTGAATTATATATTCTGCTGCTTTATGCTAATAGTGGATTAACAATAGGGAGTGTGCTGGAAAGAGGTTTGCTTTAATATTGTAATAGCCTCTTTTCCTGTTCTACAGTGTAAGATTTATCTTTTTTTTTCTCTTTCAGTTCTGTCCGAAAACGACTGCGGGAGGATAGAAAAGCAAACACAGCACAGAAGCTGCAGCAGATGAAGCAGAAGCTAAATGAGACTGAAAGAAAAAGAAAAAGGTGGTTATATTGGAAACCTATTCTCACTAAGATTGGGTTTGGTACACTGATTTTAGTTGGTGCTTATTCTTTCTGGAAAATGTATTTTCAAGAACATTCCTTGTAAGTAAACAGTAAGCGTGACTGCTCCGACAGCTAATTTTGCTGCAAGTTAATGACTAGGGGTGTGACTTTAAGCAGTAAACTCCTTACTCCTGGAATGGGTACAGACTGTTACATACAGTAGAGAAGTGATGTAAACTTGATCCCATGTCGACATCTCAGGACTTTCCACTGCAGGTACTTACAAAAATGAACTGCTGCCCCCCAACAGAGTTGATGGTTTTTGTTTATATGAGCAGGTGCAAACTTGCTGCAACTGTTTATACACTTTTTAAGATGGTGTTCTACCAGATCTTAAACAAAGCTGAACCATGGAGGTTTAGCTACTGAAGGCTGTCTGGATTTAAATTTACATGCCTGACGTAAGCAATAAACAATGTTGTATCATTTACATTATTAATGCAAAGAAGTTATCCTTAAATATGTGTAATGTACTAGTGACATGAACTTAAACATTTTATATTCTTACAACCTAGGATAAATATATTTTATAATTGCATATTTAATCTTTTTGTAGTTCACTGTACTTTTAAAAGCTCAGTTTGTACAAATTTCCGACCAAAAGAATTTCATTTTGAAACTAAATGTAATTATAATTTGTGCATGAAAAGAACAGTGCAACCATTCCCCATATTTTGTCTCTCCAGTTTGAAATGAGCAGCTAGGGGTCTGATGAAGCACTTGCCAATTTCGACTCTGTTAATTTGCATTCCTTATTTATTTTTTGTAGTTTTCATTATTTAAGTAAGGCATAGAAATTCAATTTTTTTTAAGACTTTTGAGAACTTAGTCCCCACTGAGAATCATAGTGTTCATTAATGTATTCAGACTTCAGCTACTGTTTGAAGGCCAACATTTCAAGTTCTGACATTCCATTAAATGTGAGACATAATGTTTTGTGTGTCTATAGATTTTAATTGCTAGAAAGAATAAAATTCACTCATCAGTGATAAGTGTAGAAAGCACATTCAAAGGAAACTATAGTTGGACTTCCAAGGGTGGCTTTAATAGGAAAGAAATGTTGGTAGTGTTCTGCCATACCCAGTTTGTTTGCCTGTATGAGCCACTTTGGTGGCGTCACAAAGTCTAGAACTGCTTTTCAGTTTCTCCAGCACTGTATTAGAGACATGATGGTAAAACACTTGATGACTAATATTTTGGGAATACCTGTGCTACAGCCCCTTTAAAATTATCGAGCACTCCCTTTCCGTTCCTTGGGCAATAACACTTTCTAAGTAGTAATTCTACACAAATCAGTTTCTGTGCTTTAAATTACCTTGCAGTACAGATGGTATGTGGCTGTATGTAGCTTGTTGTTCCAGTTGAGACCTAATGATTTGTAGGATTGGATTGTACTTTGAATTATGGATTTTATTTATTCAAGCATTGCCTTGTTGGGTGACTTCAGAGAAGTCATGTTTTCTCCTTCTGTTTTCTTAAACTTGGTTATTTTCTGTTGGGTGTGGGGTTTTGGGAATTTTCTTTCCCCCCCTCCCATTTTGTAAAGTGCTTCCTGGATTTATTGCTGAAAAATACTAAAAGAGCTGGATGGTTACTTGGTTCCTTATTCAAAGGAATTAACTTGAAAGTTTTTCAGAACGTCCAAGCTTGGTAATAACGTAAGAGGCATGGAGCCCAGTTACTTTGACATTTACTACACAAAGCTAAGTACAGTTTACCCTTTGAAATTCTCATTTCGCAATAGCCAATACTGTTTTGGACCACACTGTTTATATAGTGTCTATAGAGTAAACAAATGCTAAAGGGTCCAGATCAGGAAAACAAGTGCAGTTTCATACAGTTCTCAATTTGGGAACTTGTGCTTCAGTAGAACAAGACAATTTGTTCTGCGGCATTGCTGACCAAATGAGCAGCCCTAATAGCTAAATGACTTGCTGACTGCTTTGACACAGTGTAGGCAGGCAGCTCATATATTTCAAGGTGTTTCACCATTTTTACAACCACAGTAACTTTTAGCCAACAAGACTGTCAGAAGACTTTTTTTCTTTCTTTAAATTGAGAAGACAGGTGTTTCAGTATCAGCTGTAACTGTTAGTAGGTGTAAATGTATGTGCCTTATAGATATATTTTGGTTATGGAAAAATACATGGAATGTAATTAAATGCTTTTGTAGCAGAAATATTCCAGATTTTATTCTAAATACTTAAAAGCAGCTAAGGAAAAAGTGCAGGCGAAACCTTCACTGATATCACACTGTCATTTATTTCCCTTCTCTTGGCATGAGAAGGGTTTCCTGGGTGACCAGTATTCTACAGGCACTGAGCTCTAACTGCAACTTGTCAAGTTGTCACTAGAGTTGTTTCCCGATTCCATCTTCCAAATTCTGGCTTTTCAGTTTTGTGGATCCTCAGCAAACATTCCTCATTTCAGGGTGGAACAGGGCAGGAGGTGGCCATCTTGCATCTCCTCACACTCTCTTACCTTCTCGATGCAATAAAGCAGGACTTGCACATTCAGCAGTTGTTCTGTAAAAGTTTAGTTTGGTTCTGTGATTGCAAGTACCTTGGGAGTCTTAACTGTTAATAGTTTAAGGAAGATGAGCCGATAAAAGTCCTGGATAAAACTATTTTTAACAGTGAATTGTTCATGGCAGTATGAGAATAGGAAGGACAAGCAAACAACAGGTTGCTTAGTACACTCCAGGAAATAATTTGGATAAAAATCTTCCTCCTGGTCCATCACTAATCCTTATACCCCAGAATCTGGCGGAGGCTTGTTGCTGCTGCACACTAAGCCCTTGTGATACTTTGTAATTCTGTGGGATTTAAATTTGCAGCAGTTTTGCACAAGTTGGAAGTTAAATAGGAACAACTATGGGCCAAAATGAAGAACTGCTGATCCCAGGCACCCCTATGATAGGAAATGCTTAAAGGGTGAAATTGAAGGACGTGCCTTCTGACCCCTCTCCTGCCTCCCTCCACCCTGTTTTCTGGCAAGCTGCTGGCTGGTCCTGTGCTACTTCTAAAACGTTGTTGGGCTTGGTTCAAAGGGTTACTGTGTTTGGTTTTCCCCTCTATTCTGGAAATGCATCAGTCAAAATTTTTGATGCACAGTGGGCATCTCTGAATTTGATAAAACAATGTTTGACTCTCAGATGAACACTCATGTACAAATTATGCACATTTTCATTAAAAAAATTCCTAGCAAACATTTGGATCTCCATTGCAAGGAGTTTGCAAAGTTGGAATTAGTTCTTTAGGTTTCCTGTTTATGTTCTTGGTGCAGGGACAGTCCACTTAGAGTGACGGTACATCTGTATTTTCCTTGAAATGTATTAAGTAAAATAATTTAATTCAGTGTGAAATAGCAATTTAAAAAAACCTATGGATTTATTTTATGGAAGTGAGATGTTGCAAGTGGAACTTAGCTTATTCTGTTAAACCTCGAGTAAAATGGTTTACTGACATCAGTTTATATCCCCCTGAAAAGGGAAGAGGTATAAATGTGTATGCATGTATGTGTGACTGGATCGTGCAGGCAATTAAAAAGCCTGGCTAGCTTTATGTTTAATGAATGTAAACCAAATTATTTAGTTTGCTGTTTGGCATTATAGTAAAACCTGAGACACTTGAGGACTGCACGAGAAAGTATATTAACGGTGACAAAAGAGGAAATCTTCTGCATGGCCGAGTGGCTTAAGCCAGAGGATGGTATTTGCAAAGTTGACGTAACACACAGTAGTCTTCCTGGGCTTTTTTGTTTGCCCCTGAAGTTTTAAGTCAGTCTTTCATTTTTATGTACGAAAAATAAATGTGTTCAAAATTGCATCTCTGTCTGAGTCTTTATTTAAATTGGAAGGATAAATACTTGGAAGCCCTTTTTCAGTGTGTCCTAACCGATCGAGTAGGATGAATCAGTGTAGTGCTCGCAGAACTCAGACTTGTTTTACTTGTAGTAGCTTGGGGCTGTGGTGCCGTGAACACCAAGGTGTCTTTCTGCGTTCCTCGGAGTAGACACTTACCTTGCCTAAGAGCAGAATGTACAGTGCTGGGATGTCTTCCTCACTACAGGAAACCTTTGCCTGTAAACGGTTGTTTCTGTGCCGCTGTGCCAGGGGTGGCCTACAAAGCCGTGAGAGGTGGTGTGTTTTGAGATGCAGCCTGCCATAGTCCCACTGAGGCCCAAGGAGACTTCTGCAGTGCTTGGGGTTAAATGTGTGAGGAAGGGGTTTGCTGGACTGAGACCTGTACTTGGAAATCCCCAGCAAGGATGTGCCTTATACTGTAACATGGAAATACCTTCTGGAAAAGCAACAGCTTTCCAAGAGTACTTGCTCTGAGGCAGTAGTTGCTCCAGGGAATGCATGAGAAGCTGTTTGGTATTGACAGTGGGCTGCAAACCCGCTGTCGGTTCTTAGTTCTTTTTTTTTGTTGTTGTTGTTTTTTTTCCCCGTACTCTGTACTGAATCGGTGACTTTCTTTTGGTTGTATGTCGCAGGCCGAGACTGACTGACACCTAAGCCTTCAAGACTTGTGAATATTCTGCAGCTATAAACTGCAAATTATTGACATGCAAAGCAAGACATGAGCCCCCTCTTCGGGAACAAAAAGTGAGGTCTGTTAAGTACCAAGAAGACCTCAGTTATCTGTTTACAGCGTAAACTGCACCGAGGGGATGAAGACCACCAGCAGCGTGTGCTACTTTGCAAAACGAAATAATTTGCCATCTTGTGTTTTTTATAATGCCTGTATTAATGTAGAAAGATGTAAAAGAAATAAATTAGGAAATATTTTGTTTTGTACTGCCATTCTTATTGTATTTTTATACTTTTTGGCAGCATTAAATATTTTTTTAAATTGACAATATGCTGTTGTGTGCACGTTATGTTAGGGAGAAACCGTTAAGAGCCTGTTTTGTGGAAAAAGAAGCCTTTTGCCTTAAGGTTTCCTGATACCTGTCTTAACTGGAAAATGGCAAAATTATTAGAAAGTGCTTAAAAATATTTCCATTAATGCTAAGTATTGTAGTTTGATTTAGGAGGAACTCTTGCACATTTCTTTTGTAATACACCACTTAAGATTATTATTTTATTAATCTGACCAGTTGGTTTGGTAATCCTTCTTATGTTTGCTATAAAATATGCACAAGATGTTCAGAGTAACTTTGTGAAGGGAAAGTGTTTTGTTGGTTATGCTTTAAAGGGAAGACAGATGTGAAATCTGACCTCTCATGCCCCACGGTCCTGTGTAACAGGAGCTCAGGGCCAGGTGCAAAGCGCACAAAGTCAATGGTGTCTGTAATTAAACGGGTTTTGGATTGTGCCATCGCCATGTGTTGTATGTACAGTATTTTCCTTCACGTATCCCACCTTCTGTCAGCGTTCTCCCTGACAAAGTCAGGATGGATTGGAAAGGGGTAAACCGGAGTGTTGCTTAAAGGAGTTCTTCCAACAGGGTCAGCAGCGTTTCCAGCCCTGTGCCTTCTGTAACAGAGCTGACCTCAGTTCTGCACTTGATGTTCTCTGACAGTTTCAGATAAACCTTAACTCACAAAAAACATATACAGTTACTATGACTGTCTGAACTGGCATGTGGTGGGGTTTTATATGTGATTTGCACTGTGCATATTTTTGTAACAGGTTTTTGTAAAAATCATACTGAAAGTAAATCGTGGAAGAGGGGGGAAATCTAGGCCAACTAAAGTTTTGCTAAAATAAGCAGCAGCCTGAAATCTTAGCAGAACTTGGTTTCAAGACCCATGCATGAAAGCAATTATATTGAGTTGTGTTTAACTTGAAGGGGAAGCTGAATCAGGGGAGTAGTTAATGCAATTACTTGAGCTAAAGACAGGCTTGACACCATCCTCAAATAGTCTGAATTGCCAGAGTCTGGTTTGTCCAAATATTTTTGTTTCTTTAGGTGATTAGCATTGTTCTGAGTGTGTGTTGGAGGAGAGAACATTGTGACTTGATTCAGCTTTCGTTTTCAAGTTGGTGCAGCTGTGAGACCAGGAGTGTTTATAACAAGAGATGAAGCTCTGCCAAAACCACTGCAATAAACCCTGTTATTGTTTCATACAGGAACAGAGCCCGTTTATATTGCTTGGAATGTCTTTGGATAAGGCTTGCAGCTGTTCATGCCTTTTACCTTGGGCTGTGGTTTAGGTTTTCATTATTTTTCCCCTCTTGGAGGTGTGAGTAAGCATGCAGTGCATGACTACTGGAAACACGCATGTGCTTCATTATTTTAGCTGCTGCTATTAGAGCTATCATATATGCAACTAGTTTATCTTGTGGGGCATAGAGGGCTGAATAATGCTTATCAAAATGCTGACTTGCCCTTAGTTTTTAAATGGTTTTCAGCTACTGAGCTGATGGATCAAATTTGATGTCAGGCCAACTCGATGAATCAGCAAAGGGCATCAAGATATAGCAGATCCTAAACCAGGGCTTTGTCAGGTTTGATTGAGGGCTGCCTTGTGACAGAAGTCTTGGCTTACTGGCCCAGGAACTTCTGCCCCATGCATTTGTTTAGTTATTTTTACACAAGCCGCAATTCTTGACCACTGTTGGGACAATGTTTTTAAACAGGTGAAGGAAGGGGAGAGGCTGCCTTTGGAGGAAAGGGACAAGTGAATGTCTAATTGCAGCCTTTAAAGAAATGGGGTTAGAAGAATCAGACTTGTAGATGGCATTTTTTTTCCAAATGAAAAAGCTGTGATTTACTGGCTGCCAGTTTTTATTCCATGTTCAAAGCAATGTTGCAGAGGTGTCTTTATTTTTGGTAGTCCTCTTAACAGCAGGACAAAGCCGCGGCGCTGTTCTGCAGGCAGGCTTCGGTGTGTGCAGAGAGTGGGCTGCCCCTTCCCGGGGCTCTGGAGGCGGGAAGGGCTCTGGCCGGCCAAGGGTAGCCGCTGCCCGTCCTGCAGCGGCATCTGGTGGCCGCCTGTGTCCTTGTCTCTCCTCATAAACGTCGAACTGTCCTATACCTTTTCCACAGGGAACAGGAAAGCCTTGAGGATTTTCTCTTTTAGAGAGTACTCCCAGTACCGAGTGCTCTCCTTTTCCCTGCTCGAGGTTTCATTCGGCTGTGCTTCTTGAGGAGGTACTGAACATCTATGGCTCACTTAAGAAAAATACTGTGGAGCAAACGACACCCCATTCATCGCTTCTGTCTGGTCCTTCAGTCCAAGAGACTTGATCTGCCCCCTGCTCTATATACACCCTGTAGGCACTTTTTAAAGGCTACAAGGAATCCTTTAGCCCTTAACAATACTCAGCCCTGTCTTTTTTCTCCTTCACTCCAAGGAATCGCTCTTAGGGCACAGGTATAAAAGTATGAAAAGATTTATCACCCTTATCAAGTCTTTCCAGTTGGTCATTCTAGTTAGCATCTATTTTAACGTAGATCCAAAGTTCAGAACTAATAGGAATCGGTGTGTAGGACTGGAATGCAGTTAGCTAAACACCCATTAGGCTGGAAATTAGGGATGAGAGGGGAAGAAGAGGGAGAAGAAAAATAGAGCCTGAGAGTCAGTCTTCACCTGTCCAGCATGGAGCCCACCTTGAACCTTGCCTCAGGCCAGTGGCCGATGCTGGTGCTTGGCAAGAGCTCCTGCAGTGCAGGACATTGGTGACCTGGAGTTTCTGTGTCACGGACAATTACACATCCATTGCTTTCTGCACGGAAGCTGCTGTCACACAGCAGCTGGCCTGTGCCTCCCAGCACAAGTGTTGGGAATAAAGAGGGAAGTGACTGTGCTCCTTTCTCCCTTCTGCCTCACGGCAATTTATGCACTTGGCTCAGTTTGAATGTGGTTAGTTTTTCCAACTAGTTTTAGACTTACCAGACTTGCCTTGTACTACACATGGCCTTTTGTCTGCATTCCTGGACTGCTTCTGCATTTTGACTTGCCAGCTTATTAGTCTGGATACCTGTGGGAACTCCTAAAAATATATTTTGGTTATATATTTTCAATACTCTTCACAACGCTTTTCAACGCTAAATCATGGATGTGAGACGGTCAGTTCAAGAGTTGCTTTTAAATAAGCTGATGTGACCAAGCACTTCCAAAAGATCAATATTGAACATGTAACCTAATAAACAAAACAAGTACCATGAAAAACATCAAACACGTGAATTGCGCATCACACAACCGCTGTCTCAGACTAAGCTTATAAAACACACAGATACCAGACTGCCTGCTCTCAGGGCACTGTTATCCAATTCCTTTTATGTCTCAGAGCACTGTATTCATGTTCAAATCAGTCTAAGAAGGCTCACCGACCTAGAAAGCTGTAGTTTTAGCATCTCAGCAGCCCCTGGAAGTGCAAGAGAAGCCTGGAAAAGGGAAGGCTCAGGCGTGACCTACTTGTGGCCTTCCAGTACTCAAAGAGAGCCTACAAGAAAGATGGAGAGGGATTTTTCACAAGGGCATGTAGTGACAGGACAAGAGAGAATGGCCTTAAACTGAGAGTAGGTTTAGATTAGATATTAGGATATTAGATATTACGAAGAAATTACCGTGAGGGTGATGAGGCACTGGAACAGGTTATCCAGAGAAGTTATGGATGTCCCATCCGTGGAAGGCCAGGTTGGATGGGGCTTTGAGCAACCTGGTCTAGTGACCAAGACAGGGGGTTTGGAACTAGATGATATTTAAGATTCCTTCCAACCCAAGCCATTCTCAGTTTCTAAGTAGACCACAAAAGCCAGAACCGCCTGTTATACTGCCTGCAGTCTCCCCAGCTGAATCTACTGCAACAGCACTGGGAAAAGAAGGCAAAACTAGATCACTTCTGACCTTCACTCACATCACCAGGAAGTTTTGAAAAAAAGATCCCCAGTTGACATGGAAGAGAAGGGTTTTATCTTCACAAGAAAATCCATGCCTACACATCACTCTCAGGTTCTCAGCTGATTTAAGAAGGAGCACCACAGGCTTGTCCTTGGCAATAACACTTCACTAAAGAATAAGGTTTCTTAAAAAATATTTTATTAGAAAAAACTTTCAACCGAAGTTACTCAATAAACAACTGTACAAAACGTACTTCTTTGGTCAATTTGTGAAAGTTACCTTAATTTCTTCAGCTACCCACACAGGCAAAAGGAATTTTTCTTAAATAAAGCATTTATGCAGACAACAAAGCAAGCTGCTGTTGCTTGGCAATTGCTACGTAATCACCACCTCAGGGGATGTCTGTGACCACGCACGTGACTCACAGGAGAGTTCAGCATTGATCAGAAGAGTGCAGGTGGAAGACCGTTGCCAAAAAGTAAGCGCCAAGAACTTGGTATCTTCCACTGAGAAGAAGAATCTGTGGAATTGTTGCTCTGCAACAAAACCAGAATAATTCTTTAAGTACTAATGATGTAATTCTATCTCTGGCACAGATATTAAAATAACCAGCAGCAGTACAAGTGTCAGTGTCATGGTGGGTTGCTTTAGTGAAGGGCACTGAAGATAGAACTTGATCAAACCCCCACCCAATTTTTCCCCGCACCTGTCAAACGAAAGAACTGGTGTTCAGGTTTGGTTTTTCAGGTGGGGAGATTCCCAGTGAGATTGTAATCAAAATATATATTTAATTTGGTGTATCCTTGATGACCAAGAGCCAAAATGAACCCAGCCCAAACATATTTAACTTTTCTAGAATTCATCTGAATAACATTTTTGAAGTTCTGTACTGAGGAAAAATGAAAACAATGTATATAAAATATGAAAGCAAGAACTCTAGATCAAACAGCACTTACTTCACTTTTAACCAGCTGGAGCCATTCATTAAGATAGTTAACAAGAACAAATGCATCAGGAATGTTGTCCCCTTCTGAGCAAAATTTCAGAAGAACTGCCATTTGAAT